ACGCTGGCCCCTGGACCCAGCTTTCCTGGCCTCCTCCCCTCCTCCCCAGGGCCTGCTACAGCTGTGTCCTGGCCCTCTCTCCACTGCCCACCACTGCTCCCAGCCTGGACCTCTAGGGACAGGAGCCCAGGGGTCACCCTTGATTCCTCCTCCTCTGGGTGAGCCCCGCAGGCAGCCCTGCCCCCCTCTGCTGGCCTCAGTCTCCCCTCCCCCATCAGATGAGTGACCATCTCTAAGCTCCTTCAGCACGGACACTCCAGTCCCCACCTCCCCGAAACCCCACTCCCTGTGGGGTGACGCAGGCTGAAGTTACCCCGGGAAGAATGCGTCGCCCCTGACAACCATTCTTCTCCCCGACTTGGACCTCTCCCTACCGAGGGACAGAGAAGAATGCCCCATTAATCATCCTGGCCTCTCCCTCCAAGTCCTCGGCCCCCCTCCTCTGCTCCCCAGTGGAGGTGGCCCAAGGCCTCCACGCGTTGTTTCATGGAAGCGTCAGGCTCAGCTTTGCCCTCCAGTCCCTGTGCCTTGTCTGAGCCCTGAATCTAGGCAGCCAGGGCGGTGGGAGAGCCCTCGGGGCAGGGGGTGGGAGGGCGCTGGGGGCTGGGGCTGGGGAATGGGCTGAGAGTGGGCTCGGGTCATCAGACATCTCTGGGAGCCCCACCCTGTCCCATGAGTCACCCCAAAGGTACATGGCCAGGTAGGTCCTTGGGAACAGACTATTCCCCAGGGCTAGGTGTGTCCCACCTCCCCCCCAGCCCTCCCCGGCTCCCCCAGGCATTCTGGTCCCCATCCCCTTCACACCAGCTCGCCTGCAGCAGCCCCAGTTTGAATGCAGGGCCAAGGGGACTCCTCAGGCCCTGTGGGTCTAGGAAGGAGGACTGGGTCTGGGGGACAGATGAAGCTGGCTGGTGCCCCAGAGTGGGCTGTGGGGAGGAGTGCCCCGGGTACATATGGGAACTTGACCTGGATCAAGTGAAAAGGGGCATTGAGGGTTGCCCATGTCTGTGGCTTGTGATTACAAATAACATTTCAGGGACTTCCCTGGTGGTCCAGGGGTTAAGAATCCGCCTTGCAATGCAGGAGCCGTGGGTTTGATCCCTGGTTGGAAAACTAAAGTCCTACAGGCTGTGGAGCAGCTAAGCCCGCACACTGCAACTAAAGCCCGTGTGTCTCAACTACTGAGCCCACGAGCCGCAGCTAGAGAGTCTCTGGGATGCAATGGAAGATCCCGCTTGATTCAGTGAAGACTCGACACAGCTAAACAGATAATATTTTTTGAAAATAGCATTTCAAATCAGTAGAAATAGGACTGATTTTTCAGTATTTTTTTTTCAATATTTGCGATTTTTTTTTGAGGTTTCATTACATAGGCATGATTGATTAAACCATTGGCAGTTGATGATTAATCTAACCTCCAGCCCCTCTCCCCTCTCCAGAGGTTGGGGGATGAAGCTGCAAATTTAATCCTTTAATCACGTGGCTGGTTCCCTTGGCAACCAGCCCCCATCCTGTGATTATCTAGGGGCTTTCCAAAATCATAGCAACATAAACTCAGGTGTGGTTGAAAGGGGCTTGTTATAGAAAAACAAACACACACCCATTTCACCTTTATCACTCCGGCGCTCTTTCAGGGAACCAAGGATGCTGCTTTATGAGCTGCGCGCTGGGGACCATGAAGACCTTAATACACATCACTGCAGCCACAGGTAACGGACACAAAGACACATACCAAACTGAGGACAGTTGATGCCTTAGGGAGCGCAGAAATAGGATAGAGAAAGGCGGAAAGAGATTAGAAAAAAAAAGCAAGACCTTATGCAGAGCAGTAACGCGGGGGCCACAGACTGAGAGAGATGCATAGTCCTTTGCTCCTACGGCCCCTGGGTTAAACACAGATGAGAAGGGGGCCGGTTTCCAACCCCACCACTGCCCGTCCACAGGGCCGAGGAGGCTCCTCTCCCTGTGGGGGCCCAGCGTTCTCATCTGTGTGATGAGATTAATAATCAGTCCTGCCTGCCTGCCTGCTTCTGGGATCTGAGAAGATGAGTGGATGGGCAAGAATGTACTTTCGAAAGGTTGAAGCCGGCTCCTCCCGTGTTATGATGGCCGCTTTCAGCTGCCTTTCAGAAGAATAAAAAAAGAGGAAAAATGTAAATCTATATACTTATATTACTGCACATTATATTAAAATATGTTACATGTAAGTGTAATATATACAGTATAAAAGTATATATTTATACATACTTTCTGTAAGTATACATATATATGTAAGTATAAGTTTTATATACATATAGGTATATATTATATATACATATAGGTACATATTGATGTATAGAGAGTAACTTAGTGTGTGTGTATATATATATATATATATATATACTGTGCTTAGTCGCTTTAGTCATGTCCGACTCTTTGCAACCCCATGAACTGCAGCCCCAAGCCCGCCAGACTCCTCTATCTGTGGGGATTCTCCAGGCAAGAATACTGGAGTGGCTTGCCAGTTCCTCCTCCAGGGGATCTTCCCAACCCAGGGATCGAACCCGAATCTCCTGCACCTCCTGCATTGCAGGCAGATTCTTTACCACTGAGCAACCAGGGAAGCATATACGTGTATACTGTGCACACATACATACTATACTCTCCCATAGTGTGTACACACACACACACACACACACACAGGAGAGGCTTGAGAGCAAGTGTAGCAAAATGTTAGCAGTTGTTGAATCTGGGTGGGGACTGTATGTAAGGGCATTCTTTGTTCTGTATACTTCCAACTTTCCTAGGTGTGACCTGTTCTGTAATAACAGGCTGGCGAGATACAGATGCTTTTCTGGGGCTGGGTCTGCCTGGGACTTGCCGGCTGGGCCCCCTCTGGACCAGCTTGTGTCCCCCTCTCTTCTGCCTCCGAGCCCAGCAGCACTGGTCATGTCCTCTGAGAGGCCCACACCCCTGCTTCAAAGTACATGAGTGACCTCCGTGTCCCATGGCTAAACATCAGCCACAGGATAACCTGCATCTGAAGCCCATCCGTGTAACCCGCAACACACTGAAGTGGCTGCTTTGTGGAGGCCCCCTGTGCCAGAGCCAGGAGCCCACCCCCTCCACCGCGCCATCCTGTGGGGAGGGAGGGGTGGTTCCTGCCTCCAGAAGCTTCCAGCTGGAGGAGGGCCAGGTCCAGAGATGCACTTGATGTAACAATACATTTTATTGCAACGGTTATATAATAAGATGGAGGTACATGTCAGGTGCTGTGGAGGGCATTAAGAAGAGGCACCAAGGCCAATCAGGGGAGTTTCTGGTGATGCCAGACCCTGGGGTAGGTAGGGCCGAAGGACGAGAGTTTGCTGGGTATGCAAGGCAGTGAGGGCCCTCCAGGAAGAGCCTGGCCTGAGCCAAGACACAGAGGCGCGAGGCCTTGGGAGAGGGTGTCTCAGCACCTTTTGGTTGAGGCTCCCCATGAACACCTGGACTCCCCCAACCTTGTCTGCCTCCCCTCCCCCTTTAAATATTTTTTAAAATATTTATTCATTTATTTGGCTGTGCCAGGTTTTACTTGTAGCATTCGGGATCTTTACTTGCCTCATATGGTACCTAGCTCCTGGACCAGAGATCAAACCTAGGCCCCTCCCTGCATTGGGAGCACAGAGTCCTAGCCACTGGACCACCTGGGAAATCCTGTTCCCTGAGTTTTCCACTCTGGTTTTGGCCCCCAGTTCCCCGGGAGCTGGGCTTCCCTGGTGGTAAAGAATCTGCCTGCTAATGCAGCAGACCCAGGTTCGATCCCTGGGTCGGGAAGATTCCCTGGAGGAGGAAATGGTAACTCACTCAGGTATTTTTGCCTGGAGAATCCCATGGATGGAGGAGCCTGGAGGGCTACAGTTCATGGGGTCGCAAAGAGTCAGACATGACTGAGCAACTAACACTTCCTTGAGGCCGAGTCAATCACTGGTGAAATACAGTAATGTTCAATCCTGCAAAGTCTAGAACCATTTACTAGCAAGTCCAAGTAAACAGCTGGTCGAAAAAAGTCTACCAGGTAATATACTGTGGGTGGGAATAGTTCCCTTTTTTGAAGTCCACTGCAATAAACAATTTGCACACTCTAAGTATTTTGGGAAAGAAAGATAGTTCAGGTGGGCTGGCAATCAAAGAGATTGTGTATTTGATTATATAGAGATATAAATCAAATGTGTTACAATGACTAAAGAATATAATTAATTGTTTTTTAAAATTCAAATGTCCCCCAAAGGAGTTTGAGTTTTAAGAGGGTGGCTCTGGTCAGGTGTGGAGCCGGACCGAGGAGGGTGCCCGTGCCTGGAGCAGAGAACCCCGTGAGGGGCTGCTCCTCCAGTCCAGGTGAGAAGTGATCGGTACATGCTCTGCCCACTAGCCCTGGGCCCCAGCCGAGAACCTTCTGTCTGGAGGAGGGATTGTCCTGCTCTAGCAGTGGCCAGGGATGGAGAAAGCAGAGAGAAGGTCACCTGGATGAGGAGAGGAGGGAGGGTGATGTGGGGGAGCCCCCTCCCGGGGCCAGGCAGCAGGGGTGCAGCAGGGAGTGCCCTAAGTGCCCCCTGGCTTGCCTTGGGGGTCATCCTCCAATTCTGGGGTCTGCCCCGGCTGGCTGGGTGATCTCAGACAAGCCCCGCTCCCCTTTCTGAGCCTCGTCCAGGACATGAGGATTACTCCCTCCCGCACAGGGTGGCCATGGGGAGCCCTGTGTGCCAGGTTGGAGGACTGTTTGGACGAGGAGATGCCACGGGCCCTGGAAGGACTGCCCCTGGGGCCGCCTGGACCCCAGGGCTGCCGCCCCCTCCCGGGGCCCCTCGCTGTCTAGGCCCTCCTGGAGTGGGGCTGGGGTGTCCAGGCTGGTCTGGCAGCACAGCAGCTAATTATTCTGTTCAGACCCCTCCCTGGCGATGCCAAATCCTCGGGGCCAACAGATTCAGCCCCTAAACCTGTCCGACCAGTTGTCTGGGAGAAGGGGGCGCCTGGGAGGGGCAGCAGGAGGTGCCAGAAGCAGCCGCCCCATCACAGCACAGGGAGCGGAGCCTCTGGGGCTCTGGATGCTGCAGACAGACCTTCGGACGGACAGACGGTTGGACGCTTGTTCTGGCCATGGGGCTTGGCAGGGGACAGTCTCCGCTGCTGATGGCACTGGTGCCGCTGCTGACCTGCCTCCAGACGGGGATGAGCCTGGGTGAGTGAGGGTCGGGGCAGGGCAGGGGTGGGGTAGGGAGGGGGTGGTGCCCACCCCGCTTCAGGCTTCCGGAGGACAGAGCCCACCTCCCCTAGCTGCCTCCTGAGTCTGAGTTCTGAGTCCTGAGTCCTGAGTCTGGGGCTGGGTCCCAGGTGGGTCAGGGGAGACAGCCCACCAGAAGAGATCACACGGCAGACACCTGTCCCCCTGCCCCCTAAGACAGGGGAGCAAGGAACGCCTCCTCCCTCTCTTTGGGCTTCTCATCCCTGTGTCTCCTGAGTCCAGCTTCACCGAGTGGCTTCCCTCCTTCCCCTCCTCCCTGTCCCCAGGAAAGCTTTAAAGAAGACTTCAGGGGACTTCCCTGATGGTTCAGTGGTTAAGACTCTGTGTTTCCACTGCAGAGGGTGCAGTTTGACCCTTGGTTGGGGAACTAAGATCCTGCATAGCGTGGCCAAAAAAAAAATTTTTTTTAATTAAAAAAAATTAAAAGAAGTCTTTAAGGATAACACTCCAAAAAGAAGCTCTGCAAGGGAGCGACCGGCATTGTTCACTGTCAGGCTCTTAAACTGGAAGAACTTAGAGACGCAGCCCCCGACCCCCATTTCTGCCGCTATGTGCCTTTCCCCAAGCACGAACATTAAGTACCTGCTGTGTGCAGGGTGCCCTGGGCCTCAGTGTTAGAGCCGGGAGCTCTGAGAGGGGAAGGTTCAAGCCTTGAACCTTTGGGGCTGAACTGTATGTAATAGAAATGAATCATATTGAAATGAACTGAAGCAAAAGAGGAAGAGGGTTTGGAAACTTCCCTAAAGCCCATCTCATCTTTCTGTAGCTTAGGGGGCGCTCTGGCCACAGGGGCCCCGGAGAGGAATTAGGGGTTCTGAGCTCTCTGAGCAGAGCCTGAAGTGTGGACAGGGCTGTTGGGGGCTGAGAAGGGGCCAAGTTCCCGAAGGGGAGGAAGTCTTGAGGAGGGCGGGAGGTGCAGAGCTCTAGGTGAGGAGGAGAGGTCACCCTGCGCTCTGAGCCAGGACCCGTCCCCATGTCTGGGCCTGGGGTCTTCCTGTGTCACCACCGCTCCCCCCACCAAGCCATTCACTCCTCCCATCAAACAAACCACCCTGGACCATGTGGGTGGAGCTGGGGAGCTGGAGAGGTGGGTAAACTGAGGCCTGGAGAGTGTCAGAGCTCAAGGTCACGGGGCTCTGCCAGAGTCCAGCCTAGGGTTCAGGCTTGGGCTCAGGCTCCCCCATATCTGAGTCTCACTCCAGCAAGACCTAAGATGCCTTTCCCAGAACTGACTCTGCAACTGGGGGAGGGGCCTCCTGAGCCTCCCCTGCCCTGCGCTTCACTGATACCCCTGTGACCCAAGGGGGCAAGGCCTCCCCCGGACCTCCCATGGTGCCCACCCCTAGTAGGTTCCCAAGGCAAGGGCCAGGGGCTGGATAGAGTTGCCAAGAAGCCCTCCTGATTATTGCCTGATTAGAAATCCCAGGAAAAGCCCTAACTCCCCCCTCAGACTGGGGCTTCCAGGACCATGCCTCCCCCATCAGACTGGGGCTTCCAGGACCATGAGCCCCCAGACTAGGCTGTGGGGAGTTGGTCATCGTGTTGAGCCTCTTTTCTCTGCCCCCACCCGGCCCAGAGCACATCAGCTACGTGCCTCAGCTCTCGAGCGCCACCCTGGGAGGGAGGCTCACCCAGTCCACCTTCACGCTGGAGCAGCCGCGGGGCCAGTTCAGCCACCCCAGCATCTCCGACTCTGACGCCATCTGGCTGGTGGTGGCCCACAGCAACGGTGGGTGCTGCCGAGGCCTCACTTTTCCCTCCGTGAAATGGGCAGGCGGGCCTGGGGGGAGCAGGGGGTAGGTGGATGTGGCCGCCCCCACCGTCTGACCCTCACTGCCACCCTCAGCCACCCAGAAGTTCACGGCCCCTCAGAAGGTGGAGGACACCCCAGTCCCTGCCGACTTCCCCCAGGGAGGCTACTACCTCACGCTGAGGGCCAGCCGGGCTCTCTACCCGGGCGGCCAGCCCAGCAACCAGCTCTGGGTCCTGCGCGTCGGCAATGATACCCGCTGCTCCCCGAGGACAAGAGGCTGCAACCACCCACTGCCGGGCCCCGGCCCCTACCGGTGAGCAGCCGGGCCGGGGTGGGGGTGGACGGCTCCTGACTGTGTCCAGACCTGAGCCCGGGTGCCTGGGAGCCTGGCTCCAGTTCTGCCAATGGCAGGAGGGGACCAGGGAGGCTGCAGTGAATTGTCCCGTCTTCTTGAGCAGAGTCCCCCGCACACACACTTGAGCCCCCACCCCGTGGGCCACCTGGACCACATGGGCGGGGTCTCCCCATCCAGGCCTCTGGGCCCCATCTCATCTCATTCAGGACTTGATTCACTGATGTTCTGTGCTGGGGGACCTAGCCCACTCCACACAGTCCCAAGTGAGGACAGAGGGTCCCAGATAGGGCAGGCCATGCACCCAAGGCCACACAGCGGGGACAGTCACAACTGAGATCAGAGCCCCTTCCGGCGGACTCTAAGGCCGTGCTTTTAGCTCCAGGCTGTTCCCCCCAGGTCCTGGGAATCAGGGAGACAGACCGACAGGCACCAGGGTGGGAGGGTTTCAGGTCCCGGGGACTCCCCCCCCTCAATGCTGGATCTCCTGTTCAGAGTGAAGTTCCTGGTGATGAGTGACAGAGGACCCACGGCTGAGACAGAGTGGTCCAGTGAGACCCGCCTGCAGCAAGGTATGCGGCCAGGTGTGCAGGTCCAACACGAGGCCTGGGGGCTCTTGCGGACTTGGGGTGGGCTGGGAGGAACGGGCCACACAGAACTCCTCTCCCAGCCTGTGCCCCCGCCCCATCCTTTCCCGGCTGGGCTGGGAGACTGTTGGTCTGGGGGCTGTTCCAGGTCCCCCTTCTCAGGTCGGATCTTTTTCCTCCCTTCCTGCCCTACCCACCTGTGGCACTCGCCTTGCGCCCTCAGCCGAGGTGCTCCAGGCTGCCCCAGGGCCCCAGACCGCGGGCACTGTGGTCATCATTGCCATCCTGTCCGTCCTGCTGGCCATCCTCCTGGCTGCCCTCCTCACCCTGCTCATCTTCACCTGGTAAGTGGACAGGGTAGAGACTCCCCTGGGAGGGTGGGGTCCCTGACCTGGGCCGCCTCTTCCCTTCCCCTTGATCCAGGCCTCCAACTCTGCTCCACATTGCTAGCTATGCTGGAGAGGTTTTCCCTGAAGCCCAAACAGGGGTAACAGTTATTGATCAAAGGATCCCCAGTGTTCTAGAGCCGGTGTGCACATTGACCCCTGCCTCCCTCCTCCCTCTGCCTGCCTGACACCCGCTGATGGGTGGGGCCGGTGGGTGGGGCCACATTTTCTGAGCGGACACCATCTTCCCCCTGGTGGCAAGAGCTGGAATTGCACGCTGGGGCCCAGAGCAGACGGTCCGGGTGGATGGAAGTGAATTGTTTTTCCTCTAAACGCTGAGCTTTGACTTGAGCGCTCAAGGCTTCACTCAGAACTCAGATGCTGAGGCCTGGTGAAGAAAGCGGTGTCCACAAGGCTTCCTAGAGGAGAGGGACATCTGGTCTCTAAAGAGAATTTGGAGAGGAGGGGGAGGGAAGCAGGTGGGGAGGGTCTGGGGGCCAAGAGTTGCCACAAAGGCCTAGGCCTTGATTCAAGGCTGAGCTGTATCCTGAAGGCCAGAGAGAGCCCGGTTTTGATCAGGGGAAACGCAGATGCTGTTGTGGAGGCATCCTGGGTGTGGGGAATGGAGGAGACCATGGGGGCAGAGTCGTGACAAAGAGCGGGAAGACAGAGCTGCGTTTGCTGAGATTTAGGGGCACAGTGCTCCAGGCTCTAAGCCATGGCCATCAGATTTCAATCGGGCTGTCCATTCACCATCCTCTCCCTCTCTCCTCTGCCCTCCACGCCCCTCAGGTACGACACTTGCGGGAGCACGCCCATCTCCGGCCCAGGGGAGCTGGTGTTCGTGAGAAAATATGATACCCACCACATGTCCAGGCCTTCAGCCGTGGGGGCCTCCTGAGGGCCTCCAGGGGGGGCCCCTGGTGCAGGCTGGGGGCCCACCCTGCTGCTTCAGAGCCGGAGGAGAGAGTGTTTCTAACTAAGGGGGAGGGGAGGGTATCCTTAGCCCAAAGCTTGGGCCTGTCCCTATCAGGAATAAATGTCCCCAACAGCCCCCTGAGTGGCTGGGTCGTGGTACACCTCGGGGGTCTCCCTGCGTGCCTGTCCCAGCCCCTCTCAGGAGGACACAGCATCAGGGGGGAGCCCAGGGGTCTTAGGCCAGCCGAGCCATCCGGGCAGTGAGGATGCATCCTCTGACCCCGTTAGGTCTCGTGAGGCTCACCTGCCCTACTGGGGGCCTCCTCTCTGTGGCCTGTCCTCCTGCCTGGAGGACTCGGAGCTTCTAGGCTTCACCCCCACTCCTGTGCTTGCTCTGGGTGGGGGCACGGAAGTGTGTGTAATTCCTTGGAGATGCCTGGGTTCAGATTGGGGCCCCAAACCCCATGCAGGGCACCAAGCGTCTGTCGTCATCCACTCTATTCTGGGCCAAGATGACCCAGGCGGAGCTCTGTCCTCACATCGCCCGGCGCTGTGGGGGGCAGGGGAGGGCAGCCAGCCAGCACAAGAGGTGGAGGGAACGCAGAGGAGAGGGCTTCCTGGAGAAGGGGGCCGAACTGTGCCAGGTGGCCCCAAGGAAGGGACCCAGGTGGGAGCAACCGAGCGTGCAAAGGCCTGGAAGCCACAGTGACTGCTGGGTGGGCAGGGTGGGCACAGCTGGAGGGTGGGGTGAGGGACAGCGAGGAGGCCAGGGGACGCCCCTTGCTACCTGAAGGACCTCACCCTCTGGGGCACCGGGCAGGGAAGAGGGCGCTGGCTGGGTGCCCAGGTGTCTGCGTCCGGGTGGTGCAAACGGCCCTAAGCCACTGCAGACACATCCGGCTCCTGGTGTGGAGGAAATGCTCACGTAACCAGCTTGGGAGGGGCAGGGAGGGGAGGGGGCACGCGGAATTCCAGCCTCCGCCCAGCGAAGCCTTGGCCTTTCCAGAGCAGCTGTGAGCCCCGACCCTGGGGCTGGCTGACCCTGGACGGATCACTTACCCTCTCTGGGCCTCAGTTTCCCCCTTATGTAAAAGCGGGGGTTGAACTGGGTAACTGTAAGGCCCTGCTCTCCACCAGCACCCAACATGGGTCGGGCACCGGCAGGAAACAGATGGCGCACTGTCTGATGGGGCAATCGAGAGCGTTTACAAAGGTGTGGGCAGCGTATCAAGGGGACCCAGGGCACCGATGGGGTCATAAACACTCCTGTCCCTGAAGGGCTGGTGGGGTTTCCAGAGCCAGTGAGCAGGAGCCATGGGAGGGGTCTGCCCGGCAGGGGCAGGGGGCAGTAGGCAGACGGATTAAATACCCTGGCCTTTCCCCTCTGGCCTTCTGATCATGCGGCTGGAGGGCAGGGGGTTCTGGATGGTGTTGTCCATAGGGGGTAGGGCTGAAACTTCCAGCCCTTTAGTCACGTGGTTGCTTCCATCTTAAAGCCATCTAGGGGGACTTCCCTGGTGGTCCAGTGCCTGCGTGTGCTCCATTGCTCAGCCATGTCTGACTCTTTGTGACCCCATGGACTGTAGCCCACCAGGCTCNCCTTTAGGATGGACTGGTTGGATCTCCTTGCAGTCCAAGGGACTCTCAAGAGTCTTCTCCAACACCACAGTTCAAAAGCATCAATTCTTCGGCGCTCAGCTTTCTTCACAGTCCAACTCTCACATCCATACATGACCACTGGAAAAACCATAGCCTTGACTAGACAGACATTTGTTAGCAAAGACCAAGTATACAGTTCTTCTTATATCACGACATCACAGAGCGGGCACAGACCAACTTTGTGCCAATCCTGTGGAATCAGACTGGGCCCCATCTTTGTGGTCTCCAGACTGGAGAAAGGGGCCACAACCTGTCCTAGATGGAGGGCTGCCTGAAGTCAGGGTGAGGGGCGTGCAGAAAGGGATCTGCAGGAGGTGACCCCTAAGTCGGGGAGGTCAAGGGTCCTGGCTGCTTCTGACTGGATGGATGTCCCAGAGGACCTCAGGCCACCATGTTACCCCACAGCCAAACCTAGAGCTGTCCCCTGGCCTCCAACCCCCTCAGGGTTCTGTGGGCCTCTAGCCACCAAGCTGAGTTCTGGAGAAGACCCTGATCAACCCCTGTCCCAGACCACAGGCCCCCACCGGGGACAGGCACCACTCTCTGTGACAGAAACAGCCCGGCCATAAAGCCTCAGCCAGTTCCTGAGCCCAGAGCCCAGCTGTGGGTGGTTGAGAGCCCAACACGGTGTGGGTAGGGCGTCCTCCCACCCCCCTCCCCGGACCCTACCCCAGGCTCTCACCTGGGGTGGCTTTCCTGGGCTGGCTTTCCTGGGCTCTTCTGGGGCCTGGGAGTCCAGGACTGGGCTGGAGGGGAAGGCCTCGCGAGCCAGGGTGGCTGGCCCATAGAGCTGCTGACCAGGATCTTGATGGAGCAGAGAGGGAGCGTGAGCCCCAGAGCCGTGTTTTGAGACCTGCCATCAGGGAGAGCCACGTGGGGCGATGCTGTGGAGCTCCCAGGGCCCGAGGAGTGTCCTGTTCCAGCCCCAGCCCTGGCGCCCTGTCTGACCCCCCTCAGTTCTCTCGTGCATGTAAAGGATGGAAGAGATGATTGGTAAGGTCCTCGGGTCACTCAGTCCCTCCTTGTTCATTCATTCATTCATTCCCTCCTACGCTCAGCAGACAGTCACTGGCTCCCGTCCTGGCCCTCAAGGCCAGTCCTGCATCAGCAGGGGCTCGACTTGCATAGAGGCCGTCATGGGACGGAGACATCAACACTGTTGCCTGGAGCAGGGGCGGTGGGTGACAATGACCACGCCAGCCCACTCAGAGCCCCAGCTGTCTCAGGCGCACAAACCTGGGGAAAACAGACTCAGGGCCAATGACCTTGAGCCGTGAAGCGACACCCAGCGGGGCACACAGCCTCTGATGTCATCCTGATGGGCGGACGAACAGGTGAGGGCAGAGGACCTGCTGTATCCCGCTGCCCTTCTGTCTGTTTTTCTGTCTCTCTCTCTCCCTGTTATCCCCCACTCTTACCTTTCTCTGCCTCTCACTGCGTCACTGGTCTATTTTTAACTCTGACAAGCCATGGGAACTCTCTCGCTTCCTGGGGGAAAGCCGTCTGAGCTGGCCCGGAGATGGGCACGACCATTTCCCAATAAACACAAGATAAAATCAGAAAATGGGCTTCTGTTCCAGGTCTGGGCTCAGTAGGGGAAAGGGGCAAAACTGAAGCCAAAAGGAGTGAGAAAGGGAAGGTGTGTCAGGGGCGGGGACGGTTCACGACCCATCACTCCAACCGGCAGGTATGCTGGGGTCCCCAGGGGCCCTCCCCGACGCCCTTTGCAACCTCCCAGCCCCCCATCTCCGCGCCTGGCTCCTCTCCAGACACCCAGCTCTCCCCTGCAGCAGGAGCCCAGTTGGCCCCGCTGGACTATTGTGCCCCCTTTTCCCCACAAGTGTGTATGTGCCCCCCACCCATTGGCATGGATCAGGGGCTCCACTGGGAATGCTGGTTCACACAGAAGGGTCTGAAGACCTCCACCAGCCTAAGCTTCCCGGGAGACGTTTCCACCCGGGCCCAAAGATGCGAGGGTGTGACCTGAGAGAGTTCTCTTCAAGGTCCTGTTGGGAGGTCCCTTCTCGGAAGGTAGTCCAGGCTGAGGGCGTGGTCCTCCCAGGACCCTCTGATTGGCCCCAGGCCGAGATGCAGGCTGCCCCCCGGTGGCCCTGGGGACTTTGGCAGAGCTGGGGACGTGATGTTGCCTGCTGGGTGGGTTTGAGCTGCCCAGAGTCAGCCCCGAGGTTCTGTGTCATTCTAGCAGCTTGAGGGCTAACAAATGCTGTTCCTTTCGCCCTCCTGCTGCTGTTCCCATCTCCCCACCCCTCTACCTGGAGCTGAAATCCCCCTGGTCCTTCAAGCCCACCTCAAATGTCACTTTCTCCTTGTGGCCACCCCTGTGACTTCCTTCCACGGCAAGTTCATTGCCCCCTCTGAACCCCAAGGACTCCAAGAATATCTCCTGGCCGCCCTCAAAACCACCTCTCCATGCATTCCTGGTAGGATAGAGGCTGAGAGGCCAAGGGCAGCGGAGACAGAGGCTGGGAGACTCAGACCGCCCCCCCGTCCCTCCACCCCACCCAGTCACTCCAGCCCAACCCAGCGGGGGCCACAGGCAGAGGGCACAGCGATGCCAAGGATCCTTGTCCAGCACCTACTGGACACCAGAAACTGGACTGAACAATTCACGTACGTGAACTTCACATCCTGGGGGCCATCCCGTGATTAGTGTCATTTTACAGATGAACAGACAAGGGTGTGGTAAGTGCCACCAGCTGACGGTGGGACCCAAGGGGTCTTAGAACTTTGCTGGAGGGGAGGGGAGGGGGCCGCAGGGCCCTAGGTGGGGAGCCCGGGGTGCCCAGCCCCCGGACCCCTGCCTCTGATCTGGGCTGCAGCCGGGGTTGTCCCCTGCCCTTCTCCCACTCCCACCCCCGGCTTCCTCAGTAGGAGGATGTTTCCACTCCTTTCTGGAAGGTTCAGGAGGTTAATGGGGACAAAGCACGTAACACCACTCAAGGGGATGAAGTTCTGGGAAGAGAGGAACCTGGGTCTGGGCTCAGGGCCAAGGGCGGGGCAGGCAGTGACACCTCTGCTCGCAGAGCCTGACCATGAACTGTCCCAGGGCCGCAGCTTACCCCTCCCCTGGTCCAGCCACAGCCCCCTGAGGAGTCTCCAAGAATGTCAGAGAAGGGCCTCGACAGGGCAGGAGACCCCTTCTCTTCCCACCGTGGACGTGGTCCAGCCTGATCTGTTTGGGACGTGGACCCCTGGGGCCTGGGGCGGCTGGCGGATATTGCTGTGGTTGTCCCCATCTGGCCTGCCTGTAGTCTAAGTTTTAGTTGGCGGGGATGAAGGGAAGGGCAGATTCTCAATCCCGCCTGGACCCCAGAGGGACGCCAAGGCCACAGCAAGGCCCCCGGAAGTTCAAAGCTGCAGGCAGACTGGACCTTACGCCTACATCTCCAGGCTCAGTGCCCAGGGCGGGGACATTTATCTCGGGCTGCCCCCCGCATCCCACCTTTCTGTGCATCCTCTCCCGCCGTCATCCT